GAGAGAGCCCCTGCGAGGGGGGCGCCGGGCGGGTCTTTAAGACGCTTGTGTGGGGGCTACCGCCTACTAATAGAACAGAATCGAAAAAATAGAAACAGGACGGACAGTGTTGCCATTCAATTAAATCGAAATTATGTTGGCTTGTCAAAATCCTAAATCTTCTAATCCCATTATCTTGCCTACTTAATGAAATATTAAATAAAGTACGAAACAATTTTACGAATGTTTTCTCTAGGCACATAACTTCTTTCTAAAACGAAAAGTAACATGCAAAACTTTGATATCATTTCTAAAATAGCAAGTGCAATTCTATGAAATGGCAATACTGTACGATCTTCCTAGCAGTCGCCCCGACACAGTCGGTCGGCGGCGGCGCTTCACAAAGCCGCGGCTGTGACAAAGGAATTAGGCCGAAAAAAACTTTATAAGGAGTAGACGAACAGGGTTGCCGGGTTTGTTAGATTATAATTCCATACGAGAACAAAATTCTCGGTAGATCTTCAACAAAAATTAAAAGTACAGAAACGAAATAAAATATAATATTTAAGTCCAAAATTAGCATTCCTATGTGTCGTAATAATAGATCACTCAAATAAAATACAAATATAATAAATATAACAAGAATTAGAAATAGCTAGGTATATTATTTAATATTAAAAAAAATATTGAATTAAATAATATTAATATATTAATAAAAACATATAAAACTATAACAAGTAGGTAACAACAATAGCAGTCACAAATTAGTGTAGCAGTCACTTTTTACCTTTGTACAAATTTTGATCAGTGATATCTAAAATTAATTTCATTTCAATGGGAAAGCTGTAGCAACTCTCAACTCTTTTTTCATATTAATATATTTTTTTGACGGGAAAATCACTAAAATATTTGTCCGAATTTAGGTTGTTTCTTAACTTAAATTTTGTTTTTTGTTTACATTTTTTGGGGGAAAATATGGGTTCAACTTTAGTAGATGAATGAAATAAAATCTTTTCAAAAGATATCAACTTCTTCGGGCATGTCGCCAATACCGCGCCTAATAAGGAGTAATAAGGATTTTTAGGAATATCTCTGTAACTCTGCAACTAGACAGAACGATGACCTGTATGTGTGTTATTACTAAATAAAATTTAATGAAACAATAATAAAGTCAGATTATACAGATTCCAACGCGGCAGTCGCTTAATTTTTAGTCAAATAAGTCAGCTTTTTAAAAGTGCTTCTATTGTAAAAACTAAAGACGCAGTTGAATATATCGTTAGATTTTTCTTTAAATCGGTAGATCGGTAGCTTACAGACGAAACCGGTAGACCTGGCAACTCTGTGATGAACTGACGGGAGTCCTAATAGCGAGGTGCGGAGGCGCGGGAAGGGAAATAAAGTAATGGCGATAAAGGGCAGGGAGATGGGTATCATGAGTGGATGGGAGGTGGCGGAATTTCCAAAATTTGTTATCTTATTGGAGTTTGTCTAAGTAGACAGTCGTAGTGGAAGTGGAAACGGGGAAGTTGTTGTCCATCTCTGTTTAAGCATAGACTTTTTAATGGCGTTTCATTCCAATGCATGTAATTCCTATGCCTAGAGATCCATTGCCGGGCCTGTATACCTTTTTGTTCCGGATTCATTTCTTCAAAAAAGTCTTTTGGGTATTTGGCCACTAGATTTTTTTTAACATTTACTTCTTTATTGGTTCCAACGATAAGAGGAGATACCTTCTGAAACGCAAATATTTTTTTGTCCGTTACACAAATTTGTTTTATTAATCCACTGCTGACAATTAGTCTCCGTTGAATTAAAAAAATAACTATTTTATTTTGTCGATTTTCTTCTAGTGGGGAAGTACCCAGAAGATTTTTTCAACAAAGTATGTTTCAACGCAAGACAGGTCTACTTGACTTTTATTATTTAACGATGTATTATAACCACATGGCCTGAGAGAGAACTTAAGGGTGTATCTCTATAATAGGTACCAAAGGGCGGTTGTTATTGGGTCTTGGAGTTTTTATTTAGATTTTTACGACTTTAGTGATCGATGTTAGGATTACTTATTTATTTACCCAGCCCTCTTGAGACGTTTTTGTGTTTAGGTTTTATGAACCGTGCGATTTATTTAACTTTCTGAACGTTATTTTTATTTCGTTGAAAAAAAAACTTCTTTGATCCGAACAGTCGTATATGTTTTCAGACAAAATATAAAATAAATAAGATCCACATGTGGCCTGCCCTTAAGCTAATCCGTTACAACTGGAATGCGATATATTTTATTTGCACAGTTAATTTGTCATAAAATTGCCTTTAAAAAAATACCACAATATCTTTGACAATATCTTAGTCTAGCTTACGATCGAAAAAGACTTGATGCCAAATTTAAGACTGAGTCTTAAATAGGTGCAAATATTTTTAGGGGTAGCATATTTCGGCACGACACGATTTATGAGTTTTTTTCGCGAATTTTTTTTTTTGAAAGTTTGGTTTTTGACTTTTTTTTACTTTTTAGAAAAAAAAACAAAATTCCTTAAACATGGTAGTAGATTAAATTTACAAGAAAGAAAACCTAGAAAAGATCCAGTGGTTCTCAAAATTGAAGCAAAAATTCATGTTTTTGGAAATTTTCAAAGTAAAATAACTCGGTTATTTTGAATTTATTTGAAAAACGGTAAAAAGAAAAGGTAATTATTGGGAAAAGTGGAAATCGTCCGATTTTCACCAAAATTGGTATACACCCTATTTTGAGGTCGTAGATTACGAATCTGAACTTGTTTCCTGGCGGTCTCTTACCGTTTTTCAGAAAAACGGAAAATTATGTCAACATTGAATTTTTCTTAATTTCTCGTATTTTTAAGTTTTTTTCGCACATATTTTGTTAGGTATTCAATAAATAATCAGGTTTTTGCTATTTTCTGTTACTTTTTTAACAAATTCTATGCATAATAGAGGAAAATTTGCTAAAATAAATTTGTAAACAATCTGAAAATGTTGGGTTACGCGTTTCTGACATTTAAAGCGACGTTGCCAATGCTAAACCTAAATTTAGCGCGTTTTTTCGCCCTCTCTGGGATTACCAGATTCATGGAAAGGGAAATATTTTCCCCTACATTCCAAGGCAAAAACCGTTAGATTCTAACGATTTTTCCAACTGACTTTTATTTATTAATGTGCACGAGGTGCAGTTAGAGCTTTTTTCTGCGACTGGAGACAAGTAAGTATTTAGCAATGGAGCCCTGCAATGGATGCACTTTGGACGTCGGAGGTATGTATAATATAGTCAATGATGAGGGTAAACTAAATAATTTTTTTTTCTCATGGGGTATTTTCTATCGAACCTATAAATTGTCCGAGATGCCATGTACCCTGCAAATTTTACGCACGCGATACATTTAGATTTCGTTGCACTAATATTTGTCTAAAAAGGGGGACTAAATGTACGTTTAAAATTGGGGTAAAGAGGGGAACTTTTTGAGAAGGCGCATTTGGACATTCAGACAATTTGTAAGTTCGTGTTTTACTGGTTAGCCCATAATCACGGGCAGGAGTGGATGATGGTCGAGCTGCAATTGGCGTCCGATACTGTTGTCAACTGGACAAATTTCTGCAGGGAAGTTTGCTTAATTTGTCTGGTTGATAACTCCCAAAAGGTGGGGGGCCTAGTGGTTATTGTAGAGATCTACGAATGTAAGATGGGCAAACGAAAATATAATAGAGGTAGAGTAATCGACGGTCAATGGATTTTCGGAGAAATCGAACGGGAATCAAAAAAGCTCTTTTTGGTACCCGTTGAAGAACGGTCGAAGGAGCATCTGCTGGCGGTTATTCAAGAATGGGTACTACCGGGTACTACAATAATATCGGATTGTTGGAAATCGTACAACTGCTTGGCAGATGAAGGTTTCTAACATCTGACGGTAAACCACTCCCAAAATTTTGTCGATCCAGACACTGGAGTTCACACGCAAAATATTGAGAGAGCATGGAGGGATCTGAGCAGAAATGTTCCTAAATATGGCCGGGCAAAAGATCATTTTCCCGGTTATTTGGCGGAATATTTATTTCGGAGGAAATTTCGAACACCCAAACATCAGGAGATGTACCATGAATTTTTTAAATATATCTCAAATGTCTATCCCCTCTCTGCCAATATGGAGCAAAACGCTTAGGTGGATTACTGTGCCTCTATTTTATTGTGAGAGTGGACGATTGAATGATGATTTACAAAAAAAAACAAAAAAAAACTGTACCAAAACCCAAACCAACTTAACCTTAACCAAACCCAATTTATTATTCTATCCACAACTACTCTTATATATCCTAGAAAATGGCGAGCGAAATGATCCCACCCTCATCCCTTTCCTGGCAGAGATTTGTCCCGCCTCTATTTGACATAATTACTATTAATTAATTAAGATATCTACTTAACAGACACCTCCTATTATAATGTTAAAATTAATGTAAGCTTGAATATTATATATTGATAAACTTCTTAGAAAAATGTTGGTGACGAAGTTGGACAAAACCTGCATTGAATGTTGGATTATTATTGTAGTTTAATTAAATATATACTTATTTTATTAAAAAAGTATATTAAATAAAATTTCTTTGTTTATTTTATTAAGAAAAGTGTTTTTCGGTAAAATTTTGGGTATTTTTCTATCCACAATCAAGAACAGCTCTTAGATAAACTATAATATAATGAAAATATAGTGATATTACTACTGTATACAGCGGAAATTAAGAAAAATTCAATGTTGACATAATTTTCCGTTTTTCTGAAAAACGGTAAGAGACCGCCAGGAAACAAGTTCAGATTCGTAATCTACGACCTCAAAATAGGGTGTATACCAATTTTAGTGAAAATCGGACGATTTCCACTTTTCCCAATAATTACCAAAGAAAATATGTTTCTTTTATCGGGATCTACCAGCCTTGAAAATATTTGAACTTGTTTTAAACATATTTATAATTAAAAATTTTAATAAAAACTAAAGAAATAAATCAATTTATAGGAAGCGTTGCCAAATCCAGATAAATGTAAGAAAGAGAATACTGGGGCTGAAGACGTCGAAATTGGTAAATGTCTGGAAAATGTTGGAGTAGCTGCTGGAGATTCGCGTGACGCGGATGGTAGAAGTAGGTTTTTACCTCTTTTTGCCACCGACGTGCTTATTCCGGGTGCTATGGGCAAAGAGCACTGGTTCTGGAGCTACCACTATTACCCATTCAACGTGGTGAGTATATTTTCTGAATATTTTAAAAAAGTATTGCGAAATTTGAGCACTCAAAAATGCAAATTAAAAACGTCTTATGACTTTTAGGTAATGCTTACAAATTAAGGTAGTGAGGGATTGGATCCTGCATTTTTTTAAAGCAAGGTTATAATATTGTTGCGCCTTCCGTGGGTCCACTAATTTAAACTCACGATAAAATACTTAACGAACTTATTTCTTTCTCACTCTGTACACACAATTTATACTAATTTACAACACAATTTATGCAACTACCTTTCAATAAGAAGACGAAGGAAGGAGCATATCAAAAATCTTAGGTACACCGCGATGGGCCTCAAATATGGCCGACTTAAATTCCGGTTTATCAGTGTCGTTCTAATTTTATTTAAAAAATGTAAAACTATGATGTAGGGTAGACGTGGGGTAGACTCAATAATTTGTTGTTTTATTTTACGTTGTGAATAAATGTTGGTAGTTATTAAAATTGTTATAAAAATATATAATTCTAATAAAAATAGATAAGTTATAATAAGTATTTATTAACACAAACATCCGATACGCTACTGAAGCAGGTAAGTCAAATCACTGTCAAATTAACGTATCTAAATTCTTTGACATCTAATCTTTGACAAGTAATAAATAAAAGCTAAAATGCAAGAAAAATATATAATTTAGTTAATTTAAGTGAATTTCATAAATGATCGGTTTACTACACGTATGTATATTATATAGTCACTTACTAGCGAAAAGTTGTTCCATTATTTCACTCAATTTTTGCCGAGATCTACCGCACGCTACATAACCAACTATTTTAGAGTATTTTTCGATAAATCGCGATAATGTCACTGTTAATTTAAGTTCTGCCACAATTTCCATCTAGATTTATTACCTTTATACAACTATCAGTAGTAGAATAAATAATAAATAACATAAAATACGCTCCGTAAAGACTGACAAATCCACAAAATTTCAAATCAAATTCAAATGTGTCAAATGAATCGTCAAACAGAACTGTCAAGAATCCCCACCGTAGAGTGCTTTTTCCGCCCACCATGCATGAATACATGGATAGCATTATGCTCCTTCCTTAGTCTTCTTATTCAAAGGCAACTACTATTACACTAACAGTACTGGCACCTTCGCCAATTAATTCACAATTTAAGACGCGGTATTATCAAACTTCAAAACTGCCAACTGCCAAAGCGCGGGCCTTTATATACCCCCTGGCGAGTGTTTCTGGAACGTTCTAAAGAATTCTGTAATATTCTTTTACTTTCTGGCGAATTCGCGCTACATACACCTTGACAATATGTATAAGAATAAGGTTGTTAGATTCTTTTAGAGATTTTTAACATCTTCTACCACCTTATTATTACCATACATTATCGATTAAGTTGTTAACTTTATCGTAATAGTATTTTTTATCTAATATATAACAACCTTATGTCCCTTGTCTAAAGCTAAAAAGAATCTTTGTTACACAAACTCTTGACAACATTGTGCTCCTTCTTAGATTTTAATAGTTGATTACTACAAATCTCTCTTGTAAATATCTTAGAAGCCATGGGCAGGTGCTGAATAGCAGTTTCTAGACCCAAGACGATTCCCTCCAAAGCGCTACCGGAGTTGGGCAATGCAAATTATAAACCTTTGCTTAATAAGTTAAAATATTTTGGTGTATTGTGGTAAATTGGTGTTTTTTAAAGAGATATGGTTTCTCATTTCTTTTTAAAAATAACTGCGTTATGTTTTAAATATTATACGAGCTACAAAAACTACAACGCGGCTACATAAGATACATAGAAGTAGCAGTACACAGTAACGCACTCATATTCGACAATCTGACTCTGTTCTGGGATAGCCTGAAAGACATTTTTTCATTCAACTGAAGCGCTCTGCATGCTGCCAACAATCTGTCGAATTTTATCGACTGGCATAAAATATTTGGGAGAGTGGAGCTACTGTTTTACTTATACTATGGCACCATTGACTTAAAATCTAGAAATTCCAAAGATATTTAAATATATTTGAGAAATTCCTATATTTAATCTAGTCTAATTTTAGTCGCGTCACAATAGGACCTCGCAGCCACACGCAAAAATAAAAAAATGCAAGATATAAGTAGCACTTTTACACTTAACAGTTTGTTTCTTGTGATCAATATTTTAAACTAATTAACATCATATTGTTCCAGGGTATGGAATGCTGTTCAGACAACATAATAACTATTCACTACGTAGATCCCTACAAATTATACCTACTTGAGTACCTCATCTATCACGTACAACCGTTTGGAATCAGTTATAATCCAGAACTACCTGAAAAAGGTGTTAAACAAACTCCTGTGGAGAAAGAAAAAGCCTCGAACGATTCGTGGGACGAATTTGAAGGAAAATAATACAATTTTAATGTTATAATAACAGCTTTGACAGATATTATGAGTTATATCAACTTTATGATCTCCAGATGTACTGTACGATCGAAAATAAAACGGCATCACGGTTTTTTAAATTTCAATCTTTATTAAAAACTGATGGCATAAGAAGTTAACGTCAAAAATAAACATTCAATTTTGAAAAATGTTAAAATATTTAGGTATGATACGCCCATCATTCACACAAAAATTTATTGAGTAAAATTTATTTTTTGAATATACATTTATGTTTGAAAGCTTGTTATATTTATAAAAATATTAATTCTCGACATAAATACGTCTATATCAGTTTCTAATAAATAATTGTTCTGTCATTGGTCACCGTGATGCCCTTTTTTCGATCATTTTGTATTTTAGTATTAGTACTGGTAGAATTAGGTACATTTGTACTTGAATTTAGTACTGTCATATGGCGTATAAGTTTAAAGTTTGCATACATGGCCCAACACGTCTATAATATTTTGAAACTTTCTTTGCGTCAATAATATCTAATCCAACTAAAGTCATAGTATAGTACAGTAAATAAGGACACAAAAAAGACCCAAGTCTGAGCGTAATTGGTCCACCTTTAGAAGAAAAAATTGTAACGCCGTGCTCGGCCGAAAAGCTTTGGTCGAAAAAATGACTCCAAATGGTGGAAAAATCAGTTTTTGGCAAATAACTGCCAAAATATGCAATTTTTTCTTTGGAATAAGAAATAAACCTTAGGTAATTACCTACAAAAATGATCTTTATTATTTTTTACGTAGAATAACATTTTTTTGTTAGATAGATTTCATTGATTGATAGGACAAATTGTTTAATAACCCGGCTAAAATTTAATATTTTTTGGTGATTTAAAAGTCATGTGATTAAGTTCATTTAAAAGGTAGAATCAGTAGCTATCACATTTTGGAACTTGTTTGAATTTTGCCATATTTTATAATAATAAAAAACCGGGCAAACATTCCTTAGCCCAAAATTTTTTAGATTTTTACAAACTTATTCATATTTTGTCAAGATTTTTTTTGTGTCGGTGTCGGATATTGCCTTAAATAATTTGTCGTATCAATATCTCGTTAAGCGTTAAGACTTGAGAGAAAATTCAGGGATCTTCGAGGCGAAATATCTCGAAAACTATTCTACGTAAAAAATGATAAGGACCATTTTTGTAGTTTTTTTTTATTTACCCAAGCCTCATTTCTTATTTAAAGAAAAATATTGTAAATTACATATTTTGGCAGATATTTGTAAAAACTGATTTTTCGGCCATTTGGGGCTATATCTTCGACCAAAGCTGGTCAAGCACGATGTTTTTACTTATTTTTCCAGCTATATCTATCGAGAGTGAAGATATTATTATGCCAAGGCTTTTTGTTTAAAATTATATTCCTTTTAATCACACGTTGATGATTTGGATGTATTTTTTTATAATGACCATGCTATTATTTATCAAAATAATGTTAATGTTACACCAGTAAATGATTTAAAGTGAATCATTATCATCATCATGTCAGTTTTCTCTGCTGGCGAGAACTCAAAGTGTATTTATTTATAATAATGTATGTAAATATTGTAAAATATGTTTTCTTGTACAATTTATTAAAATAAAACATTTTTGCATTACTGAGTTAAGTAAATTATTATAGGTATATAAATGTCCGTCTGTCTGTGAGTACTCCATTCGGGTGGTACCTCTACCCACGTGTCGAGTTTGGTTTCAACCGACCCATAATTGAGAAAAAATCTTGATTTCGTCCATTGAGTCATCGGTTCGAAAAGTCGAGGGCGTCATCCTGTAGCCCGTCCCCAATATGCCGAAATCGACCCACATTTTTCTTCAATATCAAATGCTTAGTCTCACCCTGATGAAGTTATAAACTAAACGTCTTATCGAACTTTGCATGGTAGGACCCTGTGCACCGTCGCTCACCGCCTACCCCCCAAATTTGGTCGCAATCGGACCACATCAACTTTTGATGTTTCTTACGTCAAAACTAACTGTCCCAGTGACACGTGTCTAACAGGGTAAAGTTGGCCTTGGTCCAATCTATCGACATACTACGAATTTCGTTTAAATCGGATGATTTTTTGCAAAATAAAAACACTAAATCAAAAAAAAAGTTTGAGTATTTTCCAAGAGTTTGGTTTAGGTATGTGGATGATATTTTTGCTGTTTTTGACACACATTCGGACACCATAGATAATTTTATTTCTAAGCTAAATAATCGTTTTCCTTCCATTAAATTTACTCATGAAATTGAGAACAACGACAGATTACCATTTCTAGATGTATTAGTTATTAGAAATGTTAATAATTGCCTGGAATTTGATATCTATAGGAAAAATACGACCACACGCAGATATATTCCTAATGAATCACATCATAGTGTTGAACATAAAATGGCTAGTTTAAATTTCTTAGTTCATAGATTACTTAGTTTCCCACTTTCCAACGAAAGATATGAAATAGAAAGAGATTACATTAGGAATGTAGCTGAGTGTAATGGATATTCTCTTTCACTAGTTGATAAATTAATTAGAAAACGTAGGTATAGGTTAATGATTTCTGAAAATTCGACTTTTCAAGTGGAGAAAGATACGTCTAAATATTTTTCGATACCGTTTGATAGAGAGTTAACCCGTGGTCTATAAAAGGAATTTTTAAGAATGTCAATTATAAACTTGTGTATAGTGCTAATAATAAATTACAACAATTATTAGGTAATCCAAAGGATAAAACACCTCCACTGGAAAGGTCGGGTATTTATGAAATTTCTTGTAAATATTGTAATCAGAAATATGTTGGGCAAACTAGAAGATCAATATTAACTAGATTTAAAGAACATTTAGCTCAGATAAGATATGGTAGACCGGATAAATCTTGCGTTGCCGAACATATTGTTGATAAAGACCATTGTATAGATCTTAATAATTTAAAATTAATTAAACAAGTCTCAAATTACAGGCAATTAGATGCATATGAAAGCATCAGAATTAATAAATGTAAAGATAGTATGAACAGAGACAACGGTCCAATTCCTTCAAGTTCTTTGTTCCTACTACTCTAGTGGCGGAAATCTAACTGTTACGCTCAGTTGGCTCTGACTCGGTTGGCTAGTTTTTGCCACGCCCACTCGGTGCCCACTGGGCGAGTATATAAACGCTCAACTTGTAGATTGTTCTTTAGTTTATAATCATTTGCTGATGATGCTAACATGGTTAGCGAAACGCGCGTACAGTGTAAAAGTAAAAGTGTTTTGGTGTATTGTGGTGATTTAGTGTTTTTATTTTGCTGTTTAACACCAAAGGTTCCAACCCTCAACTGTAATAATCGGAAGATTTTTTATTTGATTCATTGATGATGGGATTTCGAAGCGCACAAAACGTCGTCAAAATATCATGAAAAGTTATCGAAGAGCCCCATCTACATTCCGAGATTCAGCCTCCTAACTCATATAGGGCCCGAGTTACGACGCTCCAAAAAGTTACCATTCGCGTGTCGCATTGTCGTGACGCGTGTCGTAACGCTAGCTCATGTGTCGCGACCTTGAATTTTTACTCTCATCGCGCGTTAGAAAGTTTCACTTCAAAAATTAAAAAAAAAATGATGAAGATGTAGTTCCTCTTTGTTGATGAAGATATACACTCAGATGCAAAAAAAACGCAACGCAGATATTTTTGGTCAAATTTAAAGTGTTATATTTTTGTTATTTTTAGCCTTATTTTCATGATTTTTTTAGCAAGCTGTATATAATTACATCAACTTTCATAAACACAGTTTTTTATAAATATTATTATTTGGCATATTATACAGGGGTAATCGAGGGTTTGCTTTTTTACCCTAACTTTAAAACACCCTGTGCAATAATTTCGTGTGTAAATTTTCTTAAAATATATTTTTTTTACGGTCAGAACCATGTCTCCTGAGCATTTTGTTTTTTGGGCCATGTCAATACATGCCTTAGTTAATTTTTAAGAGCAAAACTCGGAGCGAAATGAGCTCGCCACCAACAATATAATATACAATATTGTTCAATGGTAATTATACAACCTAACCTAACTGCCCATCGTGTTCGACGTTTGGCAAATACTTGGCAGGAGGGTAAGATGTCGTAAAGTACCAACTTCATTAAACGAACTTTGCTTGGTCCTTAATGAAGAATGGGAAAACATAACGCAATATGATATACGCAGCCTCAATAACAGTATGAACCGACGTATGTATACAGGCAGTTATAATATTAGGGTATTTTTTACAATTTTTTTGTTTGTATATTTGTGTATTACAGATGTTTTCTTTAATAATATCGTTAGTTCTGTTATCGTTATTAGAGAACAACGGCATACGGTCGAGTCGGCCGCTCCTGGCACGTATACGTAGACGTAAAGAATCTTTTACATGTATAAAAAATAGAAAATATAAGAAATGCGCATGCGTACGTAAACGTTTACGTGTTTGTAGGCCGATTCGACCGTATGCCGTTGTTCTCTATTAATGTTTATTAAAACCAGGACTGTATCGTCAGTCTTTAACTTTTTTTTTAATTAGTATAGAGTATCCAATACAGTGTAATATGACGTTACGACAATAGTCTCCAAAACCATCTCCCAAAGCATCTAAAAAATGACATCAAACAGGAATGATAATTGAAAATATTGCAAATTGATCGTGATCAGTTCATTTCGCTCTCAAAAATTAACCAAGGCATGTATTGACATGAATCAAAAAACAAAATGCTCAGGAGTCATGGTTCTGACCGTAAAATTTAATTTTAGGAAAATTTACAGACGAAATTATTGCACAGGGTGTTTTAAATTTAAGGTAAAAAAAAACAACCCCTCGATAAACCTTGTATAATATGTCAAATACTGAAGTTTATAAAAAGTTGAGTTTACGAATTAAAGTTGATATATCATTATATACAGCTTGCTAAAAAATCATAAAGGTAGGGCTGAAAATAACAAAAATATAGCACTTTAAATTTGACCAAAAATTTCTCCTTGCGTTTTTTTTGCATCTGAGTGTAGTTCTTCGTCTTCGTACACATTTCGTACACTTCTCATACATAT